GGGTGACTGCTAGTTAGCACAGAGCATTTGGGAAAGGCGGAAAAAGTTCTTACAAAATGAAAGTCGGGGCCCTTGGGGCAGTGGATATTTGAGTATGTCGGCCACATGGTAGAACATTAATTGTTCTCAATTAATGTCTCAGTTTGATCACCATCAACTTCAACTGGTCTACCTGACCATGGAGCATCATGCAGTGAGAAATCTCCAGCAGGAAATGTACAAACCACTTTTGATGCATTAGATCACACAGCACCTTCTCCATACACTGCACAAATCTTTTCTTGTGTTTCAGTTGCGTTTTTACCTCTCTTGAAACACTAAAGCACAATACGCCAAAAATGTTGCATATTATCTTCCATCTTCAATATTACAAAGGCTACACAAAAAATCACCAATTTTGATACTTAAAAAAAATGCTTATTGATATGAAAGCTGTCACAATACAATTAAACAAAATTGTTTCAAGTGATGTTAAAGACAACCAAGTGTTACTAGAGCCATCTTATGGAAAAAACCAAATGAACTTTTTGGCCAACCCAATACAACCCATGGAAATGTGTCTTGTTTTAGAGGCAATGGATTCCTTACTTATATTCTAAATAGAACAGTCTTAACACTGTTCATTTTGTTTTTATCTGCTAAAAATTCTTGTTCTTGATAGCCTTTAAAAACCTCCAGAAGGAGCTCAAGTCTAAATTCTCTCTAATTTTCTAAAGCAGCTTTTGATGTTTAGATGACATGTTACTGGCTGACTGAACACCAAACTAGTGATGAACTTTGACTCATCCACTTGCTAACAATCTGAGGTGACAGCAGTATCCTCCCAGCTGAAAAGTTCAAGCTTAATGAAGTGGCCTGCATTCTCTGTGGCTCTTGGTTTTGCTTGCAGTTCCCCTGCCCGTGTGCAGAAATGATTGTTTTTCATCAACTTCCTGGGGACGTCTTTTGATGACTCATCCTGGGCCCGTTTGGTGACTCCAGGTGTGCAGTGGCATCTCCCCTTTGTGCCATGGGCTCTTTTACATACTCTGCAGATGAAAACCAGAGTGGAGTGCAGTCTCGCTTTCTCTTTCAACCATTCAGTTGTCTCAGCGGGGAGGAGTTGCTTGTTTTAAGACCCATGATTCCACTCAGAGGGCTGGTTACCTTATTTATATGCTCCAGAAAGGAAAAGCTCAGGGATGGCAAGCCGGTTAGAGGGAGACTTGCTTTTCTGGTTGATTTCATTTGGGTATGTTATCTGCTGGGATAGAAAGCAGTGCTTCAGAGCAGGGCAGTTTCTCTGACTTCTTGACATCAGCTGTTTGGAAGAAGCTTGCTAACACTGGGTCAGAGGTCAAGAGTGGCACTTAAGCTTTAGGCATTGTGACGAGAAGAGTTTCACAGAGTAGGGATATTCTTATCTCACTTCAGTTTTAAATATGAAGAACATTAATTAAGATCGTAGGGGAGATTTACCTAATCCTAAGGGAAGAAAAATCATTTAATAGACTTTTTCTTGCTGCTGCTGCTGATTCTGAAACTAGGATTTATACAATTAATTGGTTCATTGTGGCATGCCTCTTCTGACTCTTACACATGGTTCTTTGAATAAAGTTATTAAAAAAATAATCAAACTTTTCATATTATAAATATATAATTACTGGTTGAATTAATTATATAAAAATGGATTCCAGGATAAACAAAATGTGGCATATACCTGCCATGGAATATTATTCAGGCATAAAAAGGAATGGAATTCTGATACGTGATCCAACATGGATGGACCTCGAAAACATTATGCCTAGTGAGATATGGACTGAAAAGGACAAATTATATTATGATTTCATTTATTTGAGGTGCCACAGAAACTGAAAGTAGAGCAGTGGTTATCAGGGTCTAGGGAAGAGGGTAATGGGGACTTACTGTTTAATGGGAACAAAGATTCTGTTTGAGATGATGAAAAAGTTCTGGAAATGGATAGTGGCGATAGTTGCATAACACTGTGCATATACTTAATGCCACTTAACTATACACTTAAAATGTTAAATGTAATAGTGCCAATAATAAAAATGAAGAAAAAATGTTAAATGGAGAATTTTGTGTTATGTATATTTTGCCATAAAGAAGTTTTAAAAAATTGATTCCAATGCAGGAAGCTATATGACTTCTACAAATGCAAAACTATACACTTACACCTGAGCTTATAGCCCGTCTGGGGGCAGTCCTGTGGATCTGTCCCTCATCAGGAACAAAAAAAACCTTCATTCCGGGCTGTTGCCAGAGACCAGTCTCAGAGAGGTGTAGCTGATTCCCACCCAGCTTTCTGTTGGGAGAAACGATAATTATTTCTGGGAAATATCTCTTAGGTTATGGACCTCATTAATTCTTCCAGAAATTCTCTTTTTTATCCCTGAGTCAAGCCAGAAGATCCAGTTGCTGTGTGCTTGGGCATCATTCTGGCCTTGCTGAGGCACTTCAGTGAATAGTGCTTGGCCTCTTACCTCGCACTGAAGGAAACAATAGGAAGCTTTATAGGAGACTTCCTATTATATACACTTAGAGGCACTATTCATTATTATTCCCATCCCTGACCTCCCAATGTGGATGATAAAGGATACTTTAGGAGTTTACCCAAGGAGTTAGGGGAAATTTCTCAATGGCAAGAAAAAGCTAACACTCTTGAGAAGTATGTACATTGTATTTTATTTTAAAGTCAATTTAATTATCTTGTGTCTGTTTTCTTCTTTGCTTTGGCCATTGGGATGCTCAGGACCCAATTTACGAACCATACCAAGTAAATAGTTTAGTACTTTGTAACATACATTTCTGAGCACTAACGTTTCCTCATACTCTTATGCCCATATAGATATATGTATATACATACATATACATACATATATATGCCTGTCTAGAATGTATCCAGCCATGTAATATGAAAAATAGAGACATTTATTGAAGAAGATACAAGAAACATTGTACATAGGTCATGATGCGTCAGTCTCCTTCAAAGCAGGCACCTTGGGAATCTCACACAGTTCTCCCAATCACCATCAGCTGTCCCATCGTAATTTCCTGAATCTCATTGGTGGTCTGAAATCTTTTCCCTTTTAAAGGTGATTTTAGTTTTTGGAAAAGCCAGAAGTCACAAGGTGCCAAATCTGGGCTGTAGGGGGACTGAGTCCCCTGCTTGACTTGATGTCCTGCCAAAAACTCTGCACAAGACGTAATGCATGGGTGAGCGTGTTGTGATGAAGCGGCCAAACACCAGTTGCCCATGGTTGTGGCCTTCTGAATCATCCAAATAGTTTCCACAGAAGAATGTTCAAGCTGAATGCAAAATTTGATGCAGATTCGTTGCTTTGTTTGCTCAGTCATTTTGAATGCAATGGCCACACAATATACAATCTCCCACTCCCACTGACTAGTACAGTGATGTCATCATTGTTCATGTATGCACATTCCAGTCCACTCTCCTTGGCTGCCAGGTTACATCAGTGTCACACAAACCATTCTTGATACACTAACAATAGCTGGACTTTTATATGGCAGCCAAGGAGAGAAGCACTAAAAGGCATCAAAATTGATCAGTTCAAAAACTGTTTTGAGCAGTGGGAAAAATGTCTCAGTAGGTGTATTGCATCAAATTCAGAGTACTTTGAAAGTGACTGAAGTTTAAACATGTAAGAGTAAATACACAATTTTTAATAAATAAATTCTGCGAGTAGTTTTGGTCTTCCCTTGTATCCACATATACATATATACCTCATATGGAGAGAGAGAAAGATGTTTATTCTAAGGAATTGACTCTCCTGAGTGTGGAGGCTGGTAGATGTGAAAGTTGCAGGACAGGCCCCAGCCATGGTGGCTCAGTTGGTTGGAACGTCTTCCCGTGGCCAAAAGTTTGGAGGTTCAATTCTCGGTCAGGGTACACATCTGGGTTGTGGGTTCCATCCCAGTCTCAAAAATTGCAGGGAAAGCTAGCAGTCTGGAGACTCAGTTTTTACTCTTTTTTTAAAAAAATTGATTTGAGAGAGAGGAAGAGGGGAGAGAGAGAGAAAAAAAGAGAGAGAGCAAGAGAGGTACATCAATGTGAGAGAGAAACATCCATCCGTTGCCTCCCATATCTGCCAGAGATTGAATCTGCAACCTAGGTATGTGCCCTGATCAGGGATCAAACTGGCAAACTTTTGGGAAATGGGACGATGTTCCAACCAACAGAGCCAACTGACCTGGGCTCAGTCTTTACTCTTAAGGCCTCAACTGATTTGATGAGGCCCACCCACATTATAGTGGGTAATCTGCTTTACTCAAAGTGTACTAATGTAAATGTTAATCACATCTAAAAATATCTTTACAGCAATATCTGGGTGTGTTTGACCAAACTGAGTATTTTAGCCCAGCCAAGTTAATTAAACACATAAAATTAACCATCACTAATAAGGATATAAATACTTATTAAAAACTGGGCATAATTGTTGAGTGTCTTTTGCATTTGCTTATTTGAGTGCACGCAGAAAAAGTTTCCAATTCCCTTTCACCTCCTCATCTAGGTTCAAGTCTCATGTTGTCATTATTTCATCAGCTGGTAGGGCTGCCATCCAAAGCAGGGTTGGTTAAATGGCACAGAGTCTGCATTGTGTGCGAATGTGTTGAATGTGTGAATGTGCTGACCTGCCAACATACCCTGGTATATGTCAGTGTTATGCGAAGTTCTGCCAGCTGCTTGCTAAACAGCCATTTTTGTGGAGGGGCGTGATGAGATACATGATTTCACCAATCATTACCATTCCCAATTAGACGGGGCCCAGGTGTGTGTTAATAAAACATTAGCTCACTCTGACTTGATTCCAGGGATTTCACACATTTGATACTGTTCAATTGGTTATATTGCTGCTGTTCTACTCTGTAAGGTCTTCAAACATCTGGAGACCTGCCTTTTATGAGAAAACATTCCAGTTGTTCAGGAATGTATCTCGCTGTCAGCAGTGGCTCTTACCTTCTCTTTTTACCTTTGGTAGGCTGGTGGTAGCTTCCTTTGGGCACAGACCCCTTCACTGCTGGAGCGGAGTCTGACATCCACGCTCTCTCTCAAGGTAAGAATGGGAGCGATTGCAGACAACCTTTGGCGTTTCGTTTGGAAGCTTGGGAGTGGGTTGTCAGGGAGCCATGTGCACTCTTGAGTATCCTAGGACTCTGTCTTTAGCCCATCTCCTTGGTAATGTGCCAGGTTTTCTACCCCATTCTAACCCTTCACTGCTCACTGCAGTTCTGGAATTTCAAAGCCTGGTTTTGGCTTTAATTCTATTTCTGGTGAACACAAGGAGGGAGTCCTCATGTTCAGGGAGTAACCAATGGATCAAAGACTTCTCTGCTTCCCACATAATACACTAATATGGTCAATTAAAATAGAACCTTCTAGAGTCATGGTCTCCGTTACGGGGGTAAGAATATCTGGGGAGTGGGAAGTGATGCTCAAAAGTGGGAGTATGTGAAGTGAACCGCATTGCTAACTCTGCTTAGTAAGTGTATGCACTGATTATTGAGCACTTGTAATTTTAGGACATTTAAATGTTAAGGATTAGAAAATATTTCCAGATCCAAAATAGGTTGAGAGTGTTGCTCTAACAGGGAAGAGGCAACAGCATCGTTGTGGGCACATTTAAAGTTGTGTTTTACTGATGACTGCTTTTGACTTCATTTTGCTCTTTTGGTTTAGGTGCAGTGCTTAACACACAGGCTGACCAGGTTCAGTTGTAAGGCATCTCCATTATTCCCTCTGAAAAACCAAACTGAGATCTGCTTTTCTGAGGTCAGGCTGCTAAGACCAAGGAATAACCTTTTTTTTTTTTGGTTTGATTCTTACCCGAGGATGTGTTTACTGAATTTAGAGAGAGAGGAAGTGGGAGACAGACACACACACACACACACACACACACACACACACACACAGAGAGAGAGAGAGAGAGAGAGAGAGAGAGAGAGAGAGAGAGAGAAACATCAATTTGTTACCTCCCATGCGTGTCCCTACCAAAGATGGAACCTGGAACCCGTAGCCTTTTGGTGTAGGAGATGACGCTCCAACCAGCTGAGCCACCTTGCCAGGGCAGGGATGCCTTTTTGATGCTTCAGGGACCTTAGCCTGGTCTGCTGAGTAATCTCCCTGGTGTGGGCTCTCTGCTCCCAGCCCAGAGGCTCTGCCTTGCAAGCAGACCTCCCACCTTGCATCTGATGGGTGAAGGAGGCAGCCTCCGAAGGAAGCTGTGTGAGATTGTGAGCTGATGGGGCCTGGACAGTATTTACCTTCCTGTTTCTTGTCTAAAGAGCAGGCTGAATTATTAGCACCCGTGTTTGTTAGTGCTAATTATGTGTTTCAAGTGCAAAGCACTGTTCTGTAGATGTCTACTAAGATGCTTTCCTCCTTGCCTTTTTTTTTTTTTTTTAAAGGATGCTATGGTATTACTCTAATTAGGTCCAAGAAAACAAGTAGGAATATGTATGTCATCATTGTTACCCCTTAGGGAATAGTGGGTGATGTGCCAGCTGTAACTTCAATTTAAGAGTCTGCTATTAATAAACCTGTAGTATATGGAGATCAGGGAAGTGACATTCCAGCAATGGGACATAGGGAGAGGGTTAGGTGATCTTCCAAAGCAAGGAAACTTAATGCCTTTTTAGTTATAGAATTAAACACAGTGTCAGGAACACCATCATCATTATCATGATAGTCATAATAACGATGACAACAATGGTAATAAAAAATAATAACATAATATTAATCGTCTTTGTCACCACCATCACAACATCTAACATTTTTATTGGCTCCTATTTCTGCCAGGCATTAGACTATGCATTTTATTTGTATTATTCTTTCTTAATCTGCACAGCATCCTTGTGAGGAAGGTCCTATTAATATCCACCTTTTACAGTTGAGGAAGTAAGATTTAAAGAGATTAGGTAAGTTGCTGGAAGTGAGACAGGCACGCTGGGAAGGGGCAGGACAGGGGAGTGACTAACAGCTCAGTGAGGGCGACCTCGCTGCAGCTTCGACCTGCGTGTGGGTGTTTATGGCTGGCATTCCACTCGATGTTCACCTTTGGCCCTGCTAACATGCCCTTTGCCCTCTGACCACCTACCCATCGACATTTTGTCTCTCCTGCCCTGATGTAGTCAAAACATCATACGATATATAAGCAGTTCAACATTGTGAAAGAGTATTTGGCTTATAGAGAACATGGAGAAATAATGAAGATTAAAAATCACCCAGTCTCAAAAGATGCTTGCTCTGTAAGTCATGAACATATTAGTGTGTTTAGCTATTGCCTTTCCCTTTGTGTATAGTTTGTTCACTATATATTTATTTAATATATAGTTTCTATATATTTAAGTTTTGAATTTTAAACGTAACAAGTATTTTCTTGTGCCTTTACTTTCATAGGCCTATTTTAATGGATGCTGTATATGGTTAGAGGGCTCTTACTTTTATTCCACAAGAAGTTGTATCCTTGAGGTGCTCCCCTCCAGCAGGTGCAGAGCTTCTGCTCACTGCCTGGAGCACCAGTTTCTGTCTGTTGACAGTTGGGTTGGAATTATGGGGCGTCTAAGTCCCTCACATTGTAAACACCTTGTATCTTGAGCAGGGTCTCTGTGGGTTCGGCAGGAGTCCTCCTGGCCTGGAGCCCGGGAGACCCAGAGGTGGCTCTGCACGGAAACCAGCTGCAAACTTTGGGTAAATTATTTCAGTTTTGCATTTTTGTCTGTGGACCACTTACCTCTCGTTGGCTCTGTAATTCCATGAAATCAGGAATTTTATGAACTCTCTTGATTTAGAACCTGATCCGTTGCTGCTGATGCTGGAATTTTGGTGGGGCTCAGCTGCGTTACTGTGGGTTGCTTCAAGCGGGGAATTTGGTGTTTCATGATGACCGGGCCTATAAACTCTCCAAAGGTGAAGTGTCTGAGCTGCTTTTCTGTAATTCTTGCCATCCCCACTTCAGTGCACTCCCCCAACTTTCTCCTTATGCCCACACTCCCAGGGTAGACAGTACAAAGTACATGTCAACAAGTAGGAGATGAGCAAACAAGTATGTGTGCACGACAGACTACTGATTTGGGTCTAAGAACCTGTAGCACTATGGCTGATCCAACTTATCGAATTAATAAGATCGTTCCCCTTAGATGTGGTGACTTTGTTTATAATAGACAGGGATTTTAAGCCTCCAAAATCTCTTATAACATATTTCAGAGTGATTTTTCTACCAAGATGATTACCAGTTCTTCCCACATATTACAGATGAAAGAATACTGATCTATGGAACTTGGTATTTTTTCCCACTGTACTGTGTGTGGTGTGGGGTTTTCGCTTAGGTCACAGAAAAACCAAAGCTTACAATGTATCATTTTCTTGCCGTAAACAGCAGAAAAAAATGAAGGCGTTTGGCGCCTCCTGCATTCTTGGAGCCATGTATCTGGGCTCCAGGGTTGGTTCTGCCTGGCTCCCCCTGACTCTCACCTGGTGATGCTGACCTTGAATTGCTTTGCTCACACCTTGAAGGTATCTATGCACTTCACTGGGCCATAATGAAGACCCATAGTACAAAGCTACTTCCAAGGAGGCCACATCTTGCCATTTCTGGCCCCATCGTCATCACAGACTAAAAGGAACAACATCGTGTGTTCCCACACCACCCCCTCTGCAAAGAGCTAATTTGGTACCTACCTTGGAGCAGAACGTCGGCCTCCATCCCTCCAGATTTGATCATTGATTAGTTTTAGCTTTTGCCAAGTTAATTTGCCGACAGTGGCAGCCTCCCTGGGTGGCCACTGGGTGGGTGAGATGGGAGTTTGGAAGCACCATGTGGTGGTTGGTAAGCCTGTTGGCAAAGAGACAAGGGGCCTGGTTTCATGGCAGGGGGTGGTGGTTGATAAAAAAGCCTCATTTGTTTAGGGCTCTGTAGCAGTCACCTCTTGTTGCATAATAATAAACCATCCCAAACTTAGTTTCTTAAAGCAACAACCATTTTATTTGCTCAGGATTCTGCGGGTCAGCAATTTGGGCTGGGCTCTGCCAGTCTGCCCTAGGATCACTCATGCTGCCATCTAGGAGACCTCAGCTGGGATAACCGGTCTCTGCCATTTGCTTTCGTCCTCCAATAGGCTAGCTCAGGCTCCTTCACAGGACAGAGCTGCCCAGCAAGAAGGCAAGAGCGGAAACTGTACGTTCTATTGGTCAAAGAATGTCATAGGGCCAGCCCACAGGGGAGGGGTTTGAAAACAGCCTTCACCTGTTAATGCAATAGCTGCCAAGAATTTATGGCCATTTAAAATTTATCATAGGCTCTTAACTTGGATATGAAACAATCTGAAATTACTGTATTTTAAAATTACTTTATTTTGCCTTTAAGCTATTCTGGAGTAGAGAAGGTGTTGTCAAACCCATCTGTGAGAAGTTCTGGAAGAGACGTCTTCTGTCATGTACTCCAGAATATAATAATAAAGATAGTAATAATAACTAAAAATATTAATATTATTCTTAGTATATGCCAAACACTGTTTTAAGTTCTTTACATATCACAATGCATTTGGTCATTACTAAATCTTATGAGTAGGTATTATTTTTATCCTCATTTTATAGGTGACAAAACTGTAACTTCCCCCATGGTCACAAAGATACTAAGTGGCAGATCTGAGACTTCCCCCCCCCCCCGGGGCAGACTGGCACCAGGGTCTGTGCACTAACCTCAAAGCCTCTCAAGTGAATGGAAACTGATTCTTCCTGGCCCTTAGGAGAGTTCTCTTTGGACTATGTAGTTTGTGAGAGGCAGGGGGATTGGCTGTTTGGAGAGGGACACTAAGCCTTTTTGGGTACCCCTACGCGGCCAGAATGGGCCTGGTCACATTGTAGGACACCCTAATTGGAGAGAATAAAGACACTTGTTCTCCCACGCCACAGAGAGTGATGTTCCTGGATGTAAATGCGTGGGCGTGTCTGGCCCTGGTGGTGGTCATGGCCATTGTCATGGTGTTACTCTTCTCTTTTGCTGGGTGTTTGAAGAATGAGAATATTTAATTAAGTGCTCTCTAGCCTTCCAGATAG